CTCATTCTCAGATTAACTCAATCTACAGATTAACTCAGTCTACAGATTAACTCAGTCTCAGATGAACTCAGTCTACAGATTAACTCAGTGTACAGATTAAATCAGCCTCAGATTAACTCAGTCTCACGGTGATGAGGTCCAGACCTTCATCTTCCTGACAGCTCGGGGTCTTCGGCTCAGTGTTTCAGGAGCTGGAGGGTTTTGGTTCCCCTGAGTCCAGACTCTGGGTCTGGTTCTCTAGATTTAGGGTGGTCTCAGTCCGGTTCTGGACCATGACTTCTAGTTTCTGTTCTGGAGGCCTGAAGTTCCTGCTGTGAAGTTACTGAACGCCAGCCGACAGAATATTTAAAATGTTTCAGTTGTTTACAGAATCTCAGTGTTTATTGTTTACTGTTGTTGTTTTTAGGATTTTATTTAAAATAAAACTGAACGATCTTTGGAATTAAATAATAAATGTTCAGTTCAGGAACTCTGTTATTTAAAGACGTGTAAAAGTGAACAGTGTCAGTTTGAAGGTGTTCATGGAGGATCTCTGAACCTTCTGACTGCTCACAGAGAAAACATTTTATAATTTGAATTAATTTTTATTTTAGTTGATTCATGAAGTTGTTTTTGCTCTTTGAGCAGCAGAAACATGTCGGTCAAATAAAACGGTCCGACTGAAACGTTCCGTTTGTTTGGAGTGGAACTGCACTCCCCTGAAGAAACACTGGAAACCAGAACGTTACCGGAGCGACTGTCAACGTAATGAAACAGTTTTTTAGTTTCATGCCTGAGGAGTCAGAGTGACGTTTCAACGTGCAGCGTGTCGGACTCGTTCCTCCGCAGCAGCTGAGAGTCAAACTGAACATCACGTCTTCTGAGGAATTAAACCTGCAGCAGACACATATTTAGTCTTTTTCTATCTGGCAACCCTACTGCCAACATGTGGTGCAGGTAATACCTTTACTAACCGAGGTGCACCTGTTTGTGTTTGAGCAGCGCCACCAGGTGAACAGACTCATGGTGATGTTGAAAAAATTTAAAATGAGATGCGTTGGCCGGGAATCGAACCCGGGTCAACTGCTTGGAAGGCAGCTATGCTAACCACTATACCACCAACGCTTTCGAAATGAACGGACTGCGCGTGTGTTTTTCACTGCGTCTAGTTGTGACGTCAACAAAAAAGTTTATTTGTCGCAGCTGGCGTGCTCGTGTCGCGGCCTCGTCGGTTGTTTTTCATGTTTGTTGTAACTTCCGGCGGGAACAACCAGCGCTGCGGTTTGAAAACAGATTGTCACTTCCGGTTGTCGCTGCCGGAGAAGCTAACGGCTAGCAGCGGAGCTAACAGCCGCAGGGCCGAGACCCAAGCAGCGGGATCAGCTCGCTGTTGAAGCCGGGCACGGTGACCTGAGGGCGGTATGAGTGGAGACTCCAACCCGGTGTTCTGGTTCTGACTGAGGCTGCCTGAACTTCTGATTTCAGCCTCTAGAGGGAGCCATTTTATCACTTTAACATCCTGGGAGTGAAGAAGAGCTTTCCTCTGAAAACTATTTAATAAATCAAAGTGTATGTACTCAGAGAGCTGATGAATAATAAAATACAGTTTGTCAGTTGTTTTTATGTCTTTCTTTTAGAATAAATGTTTTTCTTCTTTCAAATTCCCACTTCCTGCTTGCTCTCGACAAAGACAGTCGCCTCAGCTGCTCCTGCCTCCCTCCTGCTTTTTGCTCTCGTCCTGTGGATCTTTTTCAGAGCCTCTCTCTACATATCTTCTGATCTGTAAATCATGGACCTGGTCAGATGGTCTCTCAACGCAAATGATAAAATTTTCTCAACGAGGAGACAGGGTGAAGGAGAGCCCTCCTGCCCTGAAGGGACATTTGCTTTGGGATGCACCATGGATTCCTGGGACCAGTGGAAGATGGTGCGTCTGTTCTTATTGTCCGCTGAAAATGTAGAAGATTCATACTTTGGATTTATGATAGAGGGATTTCTGCTTTTGGAATCGGCGGGTTTCTGTCTTCAACAAATTCAGAAGACGTCAGCCGCGGATCTGTCAATTGTGAAGCTGCCTGCCATGTGTGAAGGAATGTGCCGCGCTTCGAGCGCCCAGACTCAGACACTGTATGAGCCGAGCTGTAAGCTGGATGCCATTTCTGAGAATCACAGGCCACTTGCAGCTTCTGGAACTCGCTGGCGTGGAGTCGACCTTAGGGAAGGCTGCAAGCATGGCCCGGCAGAATGACCACAATATTTGGCTGTTTGAATTCACCGTTGAGAAGTACCAGCAGAGTCTGACTGTCCCAAAACTGTTGTTATCAAATCCCTCGCTTGGCCTTGAATAGGCCAGCTGTCTCAAATTTCTCTAAGAGGTTACATGAATAATGACGCTCTGCTCCTCCCGCCCTCTCCCGAGGACATCTGTGGCCTTATCAGAGCTGAGCTGCTGATAGACACTGTACCAACTCACTGCCTTTGTTGACCTCCTCGTGCATAAGTTATGATGTCATTGTATGTTGCTGTTTATGTTGTGAGATCTTTTTTTGCAACGTTCACACTGTGCCTCGGCCAGGACATGATGTGAGATATGATTTATTTCACCTCCTCCACCCTCTCGTGTTCTCTTTTCCTTATCTACTTTGTGTGTCTGTGTGTAACAGATCTCTCTTGTAAAAGAGTCCTCGAGGCTCAATGAGACTCACCTGTAGCAGTAAAAGCTGAACGATTGAACATGTGATTTTTGCCTTTACTCCTATAGACACTACACCTGGACTATAGAAACTACACCTGGACTATAGAAACTACACCTGGACTATAGACACAACACCTGGACTATAGAAACTACACCTGGACTATAAACACTACACCTGGCCTATAAACACTACACCTGGACTATAGAAACTACACCTGGACTATAGACACTACACCTGGACTATAAACACTACACCTTGACCATAG